AATTTTTTTAAAAGTCTTTACTACGCAGAAGTTTTTGCGGTTTTTTTGGGGGGGTTGTTTTTGAGATAGGATTTCTCTGTAGGTCTAACTGTTCTGGAACTCCCTTTGTGACACCATGCTGGCTTGGAATTCACAGAGATCTGCCTATCTCTGCCTCCCGAGTTCTGGGATTAAAGATGTGTGCCACCACTGCTCTGCAAGACTTTTTTGTTGTCTTTTTTTTTTTTAAGAAAAGACTTATTTTTAATGAAACTTTATCCCAAAAGCTATAGAACCTTTAGAGTCTTTTATTTGTTTTGCTCCTGAAACAGAATCTCAAGATTTGCCTATCCTGGAACTTGCTCTGTATACCAGGCTGGCCTCAAGCTCAGAGATCCACCTACTTCTGCCTCCCAAGTGCTGGGGTTAAAATTGTGCATCACTACACCCAACTACAAAGTCTTTTTATTTTATTATTTTTTTTTAATGCAGAAGTATGAACTGAGGATATAGCTCAGTGGTGGAGTGCATGTGTAGCATTTACAAAGTCACAGGTTCAATCCCCATTTTGAATGAATGAATTAAAAAGAATAAAGTGAATTTACCCTTGAATATTTTTTTAAATTATTTATTTATTATGTATAGAATATTCTGTCTGTGTATGTCTGCAGGCCAGAAAGAGGGCACCAGACCTCATTACAGATGGTTGTGAGCCACTATGTGGTTGCCGGGAATTGAACTCAGAACCTTTGGAAGAGCAGGGAATGCTCTTAACCACTGAGCCATCTCTCCAGCCCCACCCTTGAATATTTTAATACAGGAGTTTTATTGAATTTAAATTATCACCAGATGTAATTTGATTAATAGAGTTTTTTTCCCTTTTACTTGTTATTAATGTTGCTGTGAAGAAGTGTGTAGAGGCTGGAAGAGTCATTTTTTTTCTCCAGCCTTGATTTCTGGGGTTTAACTAAAGTCAACAGTATTTTGTAGCATTTGCTTTAACTTTGAACCATCTCACTGGCTCTTGACTTTTTGTTTTGGGGTTTTTGTGTGTGTGTGTGTGTGTGTGTGTGTGTGTTTTGTTTTTCAACACAGAGTTTTTCTGTGTATAGCTTTGGCTCACCTGGAACTTTCCTTTCCCTGATTGAACTCATAGAGATCCTTCTGCCTCTGCCTCCCTAGTCCTGGAATTAAAGGCGTGCACTGACATCACCTGGTTTTTAAAAGATTTTTATTACAATAAATGTAGCAAACTAGCTGTTGAACATACTCTAACTTAAAGTACTTAAAATATTTGTACGGATACTAATGTAACTGACATTTGAATACCATCTGTTTATCTCTAAAGCAATGAAAGGTCTATTTCTGCACCTCTACCCCTTTTTGGGTGGTTCTAGTGGTCAAACTCCAGCGAGGCCTTGGGTGTGTTAATCACGTACTTACCACAAAACTCTATTCCAGGGTCTAAGACTGAATGTTTCTGACTGTGTCCCCCAGTTTTTAAAGTACTGTTTTCATTTTATGTTATGGGTGTTATAACTACATGTGTGTTAGGGTGTCACATTCCTGCAATGCCTGCAGAAGGAAGAAGAGGGCATTGAATCATCTGGAACTGGAGTTAAAGACAGTTCTAAGTTGCTGTATTGGCACTAAATATCAAACCCAGTTTCTTTGCAAGAGCAGCCAGTATTCTTAGCCATTGGGCCATCTTGCCAGCCCACCTTGTCCCCCATTTTATAGGTGTAGAAACTTGAAATATAGACAGACTGGCAAAAACTTGGTGTGTGTATTAAGTATCTGCCTACTTCTGCAGATATTTTTAATGATAGTTTTTCTGCTGCACTGATCTGGGACTGGTGAATCCTAAGTTCTATGTTGTGAGTAGAAGCCATCAAGTAAGAATTGTCCTATAATTTGTAATGTATTTAATCGTTGAGCTTTGTCATATATGTCACTTGACTTTATCAGACTTTTTAGGCAAACTTACTTCCTGTGTGATTCTTCTTTCCAGGCTCAAAAAATTGCTGAACATCGGAGAAAATATGAGCGAAAACGTGAAGAGCGAGAGATAAAAGAAAAAATAGAAAGGGTGAAGAAGGCTCGAGAAGAGCATGAAAGAGCACAAAGGGTAAATTGCTGTAGCTAACCCAGTAGATGAGATCTCAGGACACTGTTGCTAATTCTCTGTTCTTTCTGAGATGGCTGTAGTGTGTAGGGTGATAGCCCTCGAAAGGAGTCTCATTACATTCTATCCTTTCTGTTTTTAGTTTCTAAGTTTAAGTGATCTTGTATTTCACCAATTTATATTTGTTTGTTCTTCTAAACTTGCAAATTTGGGCCAAGAGTATAACTTACAGAACACTTCCTCAGCAGGGCTGCAACCCTTCCCCCCATCCAAACTCAAATTTCCTGGCCTGGTTAATTCAAATTTGATATTGCTACCATTTTGTGTGGGTACTAGTCCTTTCCCATAGGATTTGTCCTCTGTTGATTTTATGGTTTCTTCCTTTCTAACTGTGCGTTTATGACTATTAACAAAAAAAAAAAGATTCTTGCTATGCATCTAATCCCAGTATTTGGGAAAATGAGTCAGCATAGTCTTGTCTCAAGGAGGGGATTCTGTTTATTTATAATTATACAGTTGTATTATAGAAATGTAGAAAAGAGGCTTCCTGCTGCTCTTCTGAAGAGGGAAACAGGTCTTTGCCCTCCCTCACCTCTTTCCTCTCCTTTACCCTCAATAAACTCCACACTCAAAATGGAAAGAAATATAGAAAGAGATTTTTGTTAGTTTGCCCCTGTAGTGTTAATACCCTTACTGTTTTTCTAGCTTTTTCTTCCCCGTGTATCTTTGTATATTAGTGTTATGTGACAAGACTTTTCCTCTGGAGGTACTAGGAACACATCTGCTCACGCCAGATAGGGAGTCCACAACAGACCAAAGTACAAATACAACGTCCAACTTGGTGAACCATGAGTTTTTATTGAATTACTTACAGGAATACGGGTGAGGGCTTCTCTGTAGAAGAAATGACTTAGAGACAGCTCCATTACCAATGTCCACTCAGCATGGGTGACAGCTCACAAAAAGCTGGGAACCTGGAGCACACTGCACAGCCTGCAGGCAGGCTAGCAGGTCACAAAGTAACCTTTCCAAATGACCTCTTCAAGGCAGTTTGACTTGACTGTGAGTGACTCTGAGCAGCTTGGCTTGTTTACTCTTAGGAAAGGGAACCTAGAGTTTCAGAGACCTCTAAAGGTATTTTAGTTGTTTACCTTCTTGCTTAAAGAGCTTCCCTACAGGATAGACTGTTTTCATTTCTGGAAGAAACTGTTATACAACTGTTGTAGACTACTAACATTGCTGAAAGTGCATAATATATATAGCTATATATAAGTAAGTCTTAATTTTACATCATACTTTAAATATTCATGTTTAAGTGTCATAGTTTATAAAAAAATATGCCTATATATTTGTATTTATTTGGTTTTCTTCTCTTCATGTCCTGGGGATTGAACTGGGCCTCACATGAGAGGCAAATGCTGTACCACTGAGATACAGTCTATCTTGGTGATTTTTTTTTTTTTTACTAACTAGGTATGAAGGAAGGGTCTAATTGATCTTTGTTGGTTATAAAAACAGCTCAGAAAGACTTCTTGAGTGTTATTTTACATTTTACTGGGAAAATGTAGAAGCGATTAACCTAAGAAGTAATCTAAACATGCCCTTTCATTTTGGAGTTTTAAAGCAAGTGAGAATTCATAGCTTGCATTAGTAGAAGCATATGATTTGCCTTGCCAGAGAGGTAAAATTGCTAGAAATCATTTGTAAAATAAGGCCCAGTGACCGTTGTAAATGGTTCATCTATTAGGTTGAACCTCACCATTCTACTGTCCTGTATCTAATTTTTTGATTTTTGATTCCCTGGATTTCCATGAATAGGTTAAGTATTGGTGGGGGGGGGGAGGAGACTTTTTTGTTGTTTTTCTTATGTTACATAATTTGTTTTCTTTTTATCTTCAAGGAAGAAGAAGCCAGAAGACAGTCTGGAGCTCAGTTTGGCTCTTTTCCAGGTATGTATGAAAGGAGAATATGATCAGGTATGGTGGCACATGCCTTTAATCCCGGCACTTATGAGGCAGAGGCATCTGAATTTCTGTGAGTTCAAAACCATCCTGGTCTACAAATTGAATTCCAGGTCATCCAGGACTAACTATACAGAGAAACCCTGTCTTAAAGTGTCTTGAAAATCCAAAGAGAGAGAATATGTTCATTTCTTGAAAATCCAAAGAGAGAGAGTATGTTCATATGTGTTTGTGTGTTGAGAGTTCTTTGAGGACATATTCTCTTCTCTTTGGATTTTCAAGATTTAAGTGGCTTAAATCTCTTTGGATTTTCAAGATTTAAAGTGTCTTCAAAATCCAAAGAGAGAGAATATGTTTATATGTGTTTGTGTGTTGAGTGTTCTTTGAATACCCTGGAACTGGAGTTAACAGCAGTCAGTTTGGAGCCTTCCATATTGGTAACTAGGAACTGAACTGTTTTCAGAGCAGCAAGCATGCACTCCTAACTGTTGAGCTGTTTAGGCCCTCTTTTCTTTCTTGTAAATGTTTTATAATCAGAAAATATTAGCAAAACAGAGCTTTTGAATGTTAGCAGAGAACTAGTATTCAGAAAGATGAGGGGGAAGGAAACTAAGAAAATAAGTTTTTTTGCCTGAAACAGGCAGTGTGAAGTTTTTATAAACAATACACTTTTATCAATTTGGTTTTACTTGCTTATTTTTAAGACTGTCTTCTACTTTGTGATAGTATTCTCTCAAGGAAAATTTTGTGCTTATATGATATTGGGTAGAACTATTTATTTCAAAGCTAGAAAATGTAGCATTGTTCTCCGGGCACTGGTGGCTCATGCAGATGTAGGCATATCTCTGAGTTTGAGGTTTACAGAGGAGTTTCAGAACAATAATTGTATATTATTTTTTAGCGATTCTGATTGTTTAGAATGGGACTCCTAAATGCATTGATTCACCATGCCTGGTGAAGCTCACCTGTCATCTAAGCCAGTCCTGGCTAGTTTTATGCCAACTTGACACAAGCTAGAGTAATATGAGAGGAGGGAACCTCAATTGAGATTATGCCTCTGTAAGATTTAGGTGTAGGGAATTTTCTTAATTAGTGATTTATGGGTGCTGTCCTTGGGCTGGTGGTCCTGGGTTCTATAAGAAAACAGACTGTGCAGGCCATGATGAGGAAGCCAGTAAGCAGCACCCTCCATGCCTATGCATCAGCTTTTACCTCCAGGTTCCTGCCCTGTTTGTGTTTTTGTCCTGACTTCCTTCAGTGATAAACTGATATGGAAGTAGTGTAAGCCAAATGAACCCTTTCCTCCCAACTTGCTTTCGGTCAAGGTTTTTCATCACAGCAACAGTAACCCTAACTAGGACACTGATTTAGGAGGTAGAGGCCAGAGTTTTAGGATTCTTGACCAGCTTAACCTACAGAACAAGTTTTGAGCCTGCCCAGGCTCTCAACTGTCTGATTGGGTAAGCTAAAAAGGGAAATTAATTTTTGTTATCCATATTTTAGGTAATACTTGAGAAATAACTGCTCTAGATAAATGCCAAAACTAAATAAAGCAAGCTTAGACTGATAAAAATTAACTTTAAACTGAAACAAGTAACTCTGAAGAAGAAATTCAAAGATGATTGAGCAAGCATGGTGATGCACACCTGCAGACTTAGCATTTAGGATGCTGAGGGAGGAAATGCAGGACAGCCACCCTGCATCAGACAACTCATCCCCACCCACCACCCCCAAGACATGTCTGGCGTTAATGTTTGAGGAGGACCTGAAACATGTTACATGTTGATTCCTGTTCTTTTTTTTTTGAGCAGTTTTAAGTAATGAAAAATAAGTCTAGAAAGGAGTAAAGTCTGATTTACACCTGTACTTTCAGGAAAAATTAGAAGTTGCGCTTGACAGCCTACTCTGTTAAGAAAAGAATGTGCTAACTGCCCAGGGGCATTGTTGTTCCTCGTGTGTGTCCTTCAGTGTTTGAGTGGGTCAGTAGAAACTTGGTGATGCCCCTCATTATTCTTTTATCCTTCTAGGTGGTTTTCCTGGGGGAATGCCTGGTAATTTTCCTGGTGGAATGCCTGGAATGGGAGGGGGCATGCCTGGAATGGCAGGAATGCCTGGACTCAATGAAATCCTCAGTGACCCTGAGGTTCTTGCAGCGATGCAGGTAAGATTTGGAATAATAAAGTTGGGCTTTAGTCATCAGAGCCCTTTTCTTCTTTTGTGTGATGACAACTCTCTCTGCTATTTTTCCTCTTTGTTATCAATTAACTAATTTTGCAGTCTGGCATCTTTCTAAATTGAGTTAATTTTTTTTTTTAAAGATTTATTTGTTTTGCTGGCAGCACTGGCTCATACCTTTATCCCAGCACTCAAGGAGCAGGCAGATATTTGTGAGTTTGAGGACAGCCAAACTACACTCAAGAAGCCTTGTCTTGAAAAACCAAAAAAAAAAAATTAGTTTTTATTTCTGTGAACACTTACTTGCATGTTTATTACATGCATGTAGTGCCCTTGGAGATCATAAGAGGGCATCAGATTTCCTCTTATGTGAGCCACCATGTGTGTGCTGGGAACCCAAGCCAGCTCCTTGGCAAGAACCACCATTGCTCCTAACCGCTAAGCCATCTCTCCAGCCTCTGTTTTATTTTTTGTGTAAGTGTGTTCTGGGAACCAAACTCGGGTCCTCTGGAAGAACAGCATGTACCCCTAACTGTTGAGCCCCAGCCTAAAGGTTACGTTTTTGAAAGTTTGTTTTAGGAAATAGTAATTCATGTTTCCTTATATCAGTGCTATGTGTGCTTTCTTTTTCGTTATTTTTAGTTCAAGTTATAGAATTAAGTTTGGCTTGAGTTTGGGTGCTTTGAAGATACTCCCAATCCTTGTGTGTCAAATGTAGCTGAAGCATTTTACACTGCTTTTACATTAGGGCATTTAGTATTCGCAATTGTATCTCTTTATTTAAAATAAATGTTTTAAATTTTAGAGTTAGAATACTAAACTTGGTCCATTGGGCACGTTGTTTAAATAGGTTATAAAATCTAGACATTGCCAGGGTGTGGTGGCATACACCTTTCATCCCACCATTTGGGAGGCAGAGGCAGGCTGATTGATCTCTTGAGTTCGAGACCAGCATGGTCTACAGTGCTAATTCTAGGACAGCCAGGGCTACCCAGAGAAACCCTATCTCGAATAAAAACAGAACACCCAACATAGCTGAAAAATTCAACCCCACTTTCTATTTTTTTTTTTTCTCTTTAGGATCCAGAAGTCATGGTGGCTTTTCAGGATGTGGCCCAGAACCCAGCAAATATGTCAAAATATCAGAGCAACCCAAAGGTTATGAATCTCATCAGTAAATTGTCAGCCAAGTTTGGAGGTCAAGCATAATGTCAAACAGAGCCCTTGCTGAATGAAGAGCAGCTTAGCTCACTTACTGGATGTTGCAATAATACAAACCAGTGTACCTCTGACCTCATCAGGAGAGCTGGGGTGCTTCGAAGACTATCCCTACCCTTCTGCATCAAATGCGGCGGAAGCATTTTACAGTGGTTTGCCATTAGGGTCTTCATTCAGATAATGTTTTCCTGCTAGGAATTATAAACACTTTTCAACCTTAAACATATTTTTTAAAAAATTTAGGGGGTATTAATCCCTCCATTTTTCTTTACTTATCTTTTTGGGTTTTTCCTTTGAATTACTGGGCAAGGAAGCTGAATATGGTCGACTTACTGCTCTCATGAATGGAAATAAAGATTTGTTAGTGGGAAGTAAATAAAACTCATTTAAGTTGATTGAGTTGGACATATGGTTACTAAAGCATCTTGATTTGTCTTTTTTTAATGTTTTATTTCAAAATGGTCTGCTTCAGTGAATTTCTTGGGACCACCAGTATTTGGATCTGACCTGGGTAGAACTGAAATGTTGGACAGAGCAGCAGCAAGTCCTAGGTTTTGTTTGACCTTGTGTAAGCTCCATTTAAATCTTACACTGTGCTGCAGGGGCGATTTTTATTTTTAGGCATTGCAGTGGAGTTAGAATCCCTAGTTCTGCCATTGTCCACTGTTTCACATAAATGTTCCCTATCATTCCCACATAGAGGAAAAAGTGCTTTCTATGTTTCTGTCAAAAATTACCTTTCCTGTTAGAAAATACCTGTCTGCTTGTCCTCTTGATCTTCTTGTTGAGCTAAAAGTATTTTTTTCACTAGCATCATCACTTTGCAACATAATTGTGGAAGCATATTTATTGCTAGTTTAATTTCATATATAGTAATATGGTCATTGTAAGGTCATACCTGGAACAGCTGTGGTATCTTATTGGACCATTGGGTTGCTTGTTTGAATATTAAACTTTGACACTTGTGAACTCCTATCATATCAGGAGTCTTTGGAAGAGAGCTTCCCTTTGGTTTTAGGTTTGCTTATGAAATTGAGAAACATGCGATTTTAGAGTTGATGTTGAAGTATACATCTTTGTATTTTGAAGAGTTTAAATTGTTTACATATGATGAAAGATTGATTTGTCCTATTTAGCTCTTAAATACTGCAATGTATTTAATGCTTGTTTTCTCTCCTGCTGCAAGGATAAAGAAAAACGATAAATCCACAGAGTGCATATTTAAATTAACACGTCTGAAATCATATGTCTATGCAGGTTTTAACTGCTTCATACAGCAGACACAGATGTATCTTGTTACATGTAAAAAGAAGATGTATTTGGACAGAGCATGTGTTTAAAGTCCTTGATAACCATCACATATTCTTAAATTTGAACTTTGCACGGTGTTTTTTGTCCAAGAGTGTTTTCCTTTCATAATTTCTATGGTGTGCTGTGCTTTACTGAAGATAGTTTCTTTTGGACTCTGACTATAACTAATTATATTCTAATATTGCAAATATTACCATAAGTGGGTGAAATTGCTCTTCTGAAAATTGTGTCCTTTGCTTTTAGACTTCTGAGTTTCACAGATAGAAAAAAAAATACAAGCTTCATTTATTTCATAAAGACTCAGTATCATCTCTACACCAGAAATATTGGGGTATTTTTTTCACTAAAGATATTATAAGAAAAATACTATAAGAAGATGAAGGTTGGTTTTTTTTGTTTTTTTTGTTTTTGGTTTAAAGATATGTGGTTAATATTCCTAAGCTGCTAAAATAAAATACGGTTTCAAACTGGATCTTGACCTTCCCCTTTTTGGGTTTTTTTTTTTTTTTTTTTTTGGTGTAGTGTACACTGAAGTTATATAGTGGGTACAGTAGGCTGTGGATTACTAACAGAGACCCCTAAAAGTTGAGTATAATGTTCACCTATGTAATCCCAGTATGTGAGAGGATAAGGCAGGAGTCTGAGTTTGGTTCTGGATGGTATAGCAAAACTTCAGAACCCAAAAGCTGCCCCCACTCGCTCCAGCTCACCTACATTCATAGGTTACCTTCTTTTGGTACTTTTCAGAAGTTAGCAGTTCTGCCATGCATTGAAGTAAATAACTTATATATGGGTCCAGAGAAGTTGATTGTGTACCCTCGTCTTAATGACTAAGAAAAAAGGTGTGTGGTCAGGGATGCAGTTTGGGGAGATGCCGATGATACATGGCATTAACAGCTATCTTTTCATATTCCATTGGTCAGCCTTATTAGTTATGAGGAAAGAAACAGCACACAGGTGTATGGTTATATGGACAAACTATTAGATTAAAACAAAGCTTGGTAAGCCTACTAGTTATCACATATCAGGAGACAGTTTCATAAAGGAGAAATAGCTTCTGGATTTAGAAAGTGGCTCACTGTTGGGAGGTGGTGGTGCACGCCTTAAATCCCAGCAGAGGCAAGTGGATCTCTTGAGTTCAAGGTCAACCTGGTCTACAAAGGCTTGTTCCAGGACAGGCTCCAAAGCTACAGAGAAAAGCCCTGTCTTGAAAAACAAAGAAGGTGGCTCACACCTAAAGTTAATGGGCCCGAGTTAAAATTCACACTAGTAGAACTTGATTCCATGCACTGTTGTAATAAGATCCTACTTTGTTATCTGAGTACTTTCTTTGCTTCGCAGTTTAATAGATAAAACTGAAGCACATTGGTAGTTGCTCAGTGTAATGTTTGTGGAGCAAGGAATCTCGCACACATATGTGGCTTCCCAGCTTTTTATGAATCTGTTACTCCTTATTACAGAAGTTAGTGTGTGTGCACTTGAGTGGTAATTTTGAGACAGCATTTCACTATGCAATTCTGACTTGAAAAAACACATTGTATAGATCAGGCTAACTATAAAGCCTCTACCTCAAGTGTTGAAATCAAAGCCATGTGCCACTGTGCCTGGCTTACTACAGTTTTGTTTTGTTTTGTTTATTTAAGGATTTATTTATAATGCCTACAGTATTCCACCTGCATATTTGTATGTGGTCCAGAAGAGTGCACCAGATCTCATTAGATAGTTGTGAGCCACCATATGGTTGCTGGGACTTGAACTTAAGACCTCTGGAAGAGCAGCCACAGCTCTTAACCTCTGAGCCATCTCTCCAGCCCCAGTTTTGGCTTTTTATGATCTTGTTGACTCAGGGTCTTGCTGTGTAACCCAGGCTGGCACTTGAATTCTCGTCTTTGTGTCTTGGTCTCCCAACAATAGTTATGTCAGTATGCCTGATTGGTGCTTTAAGAAATAGAAAGGCAGAGGCAGTTGGATCTGAGTTCTAGGCCAGCTTGATCTACAGAGTGGTTCCAAGACAGCTAAGACTACACAGAAACCCTGTCGGGGTGAGTGGAGAAATTGAAAGCTAAAATGGACGTTTTAATGAGACTGGTTAAACAAACTAGGCTATTATTTGTGCCATTGAATACAGCATAATTGAAGTTCTTTGTCTACTCATTAAACTTAAGGTATAATTATTTTAACAGGTAGAATATGCAATTAGTAAGACTGGAGAGATGGCTCAACCGTGAAGAGCACATCTTGGAGGGGACCCATGTTTAGTTCCCAAGCACCCACCCATGTTTAGTAGATCACAGCTGCAATGCAACTCCAGCTCCCTTGACTTCGTAATGCTCTGCACTCACATGCAAAGACATCCATTTTTATTTTTATTTATATTGTTTTTTTTTTTTTTTTTTTTTGAGACAGGGTTCCTCTTAACTTCGGAACTTGTCCTGGAATTCACTCTGTAGACCAGGCTGGCCTCAAACTCAGCGATGTCTGCCTGTCTCTGCTTCCGGAGCGCTGAGATTAAAGGTGAGCGCTACCAATGCCCAGTCACATAGTACTTGTAAAAATACAGCTCATGGGTTGAAGGGGAAAACAAAAGTAAGTTTTGAAAGTTTGGACAATTCTGTGAGACTATGAATTGTGTCAGTGGAAGCATAAATGCCTGCTTTCCTACCCCTTAGATTTTTCCTTATGTGCATGAATGCTCGTGAGTGCATCCGATGCCGTCAGAGGACAAGACCGGATTCCCCTGGAGCTTGATTACAGAGGGTTGTGTGATGGCAGCTGAACCCAGATCCTCTCCAAGAGCCGTAAACGTTCTTAGCTCCTGAACCACCTATCTAGCCTCAAATTGTCAGTTTAAGCAAATCGAAGCCTCATGCTAGAGCTTTTGCCTTCCATGCCTGGGCTCCTTGTTTTCATATCCAGCGGCCAGGTTGGTGGTGGGTTTTGGAGATGAATGGATGAAGAAGGTTGGAGCTATTGATTTGTCCCCCTTAGCTGTGGCCTTCAGCTTATTTTGGAGGGTTGGTTTTATTGTGACATGATTTCTGTAGTTTAGGCTGGCCTATACCCCCTCTGTAGTACTAGGATAACAGGTGAAGGTCACTAGGATATGCTTTGCGGCAGGTCCGGTTATGGGTTTGGGGGGGGGTTGTATTGTTTTGAGACCCGCGATGATCTCACGCTTTCCATGTAGCCGAAGGTCACTCAACTAATGATTCTTTTAACAAAATATTATATACATGTCTCAGTACATGCAGTGCCTAGTGTAGGTCAGAAGAGGTTAGAGCCCCTGGAACTGGAGTTATAATAGCTTGCCGCCATGTGGGTCCTGGGAACTAAAACGCGGTTCCTCTGCAAAAGCAGTAGAGTTCTTAAAGAGGCATCCCTTTAGTCCCTTGATCCTTTTTTCCACTTTCTGAGTGCTGCAATTACAGGTGTTTGTGGAGTACTGGGGATCATGCTAAGCAAGCACTCTTACAGCTGATCTACGTCCTCAGCCTGCCAACATGTATTTTGTAAGCAATTGGGGTGCAGAGGTCATTAGGAGCTTGTATGTCCCCCGTTTTACGTCAATAGGCATGACTAACCATATTAGCTTGCAAACAGAATGAGGAGCCAGGAACCCGCACTTGGCGGCACGCTTAGCACCGAACGTCCAAGTCGGCCTGGTATCGCCCCGCCCCTTGTTTTCCCCGGACCAATCGGTATTCAGGGACGTTCTTGTGCCCTCCTTATCCACGTCTGCGGCTGTTCTCCCAGGCGACAGAGGGCAGATTGTGACCCGGAAGTGGTTGTTTTGTTGGAGGCAGGCGGGTCTGAGAGGTGGAGCTTGAGACGCTCCTGAAAGGAGCCCACGTTGCGGCGTCTGAGGGGGCAAGCGTGGCAATATGGCTTCTGTGTTGTCCTACGAAAGCCTGGTACACGCCGTGGCCGGAGCCGTGGTGAGGAAGGGTTTGGGGCTTTACGAAGTCAGCCCCGGGATGGGGCCGGGAGATATGGGGACTGAGTCTGTCACGACTGGGAACAGGGCATAAACAGAAAGTTGCTGCAAGTATGAGTGTGAGGAGTGAGGCCGGAACCCACCCACTGCTCCTGCTCCCGTCCCTGCCGCGCGCTCCCAGAGCCCGTCTGAACTGGCAGTCACAAATGCCCATCACCTTCTGACGTTTAAGGCCAGCCATCGCCCTACCCCATTCTCGCTGCACACAAACTTCGTCTAACCGGTCCTGAGGAGAAACTAGATGTGAAGCTGGGGTGCTTGATGTAAGGTTACTAACATTCTCTTGTCACACCTTACCACAGCAAGTGGCAATAGCTAGGAAAGTAGCTCTGTTCAGCATTATTGCCAGGAAAAGATAGGGTTTTTGTTTTGTTTTTAAATCAAAATCGGGGTTGTTACTGTGAGTTAAGTGCTTGGTTCTTGGACGTTAAGTCGTCTGAGTTCCTTCCATTTGACACTCTTCACTCTTCCTTTTTTTTTTTTTTTTTTGCAACTTCACGTTCTTGGTCCGAGTAACATGCCTCTTCTGATTCTCTTTCTCAGCTTGTTTCTCATGCCCTTCCCTAACTTCCAGCCAACATGTCCTTTTAGCCTTTTAGAATCACCGTGGACCATTTCTGTCTATTCGGTGGACCGTTCCTGAATGGTCCCACTCCCCCAGTATGAACCTAGGGATAACTCATGTTCTGTAAAGAGGAATCTAAGTTTTGATTTCCAGTTCTACCATTTATTTACTAGGTAATCTCAGATCTCACATTTGTATTTCTGTGAAGTGGAGAAAGGCTAGTTTTTCCCCCAGACTCTTGAGAATTATGTGAGGGAGTGTTACAGGAAGTGTCTTATTCAAGAAGTCTCTGTCATTTAAATCAACCAGGAGAGCCTTTCACCCATTAAGATAAAGCTGGTGTGGAAGTTTGCTTGACATGTTTTCATTTGGTCACAGAGACCTGTGTGGCTGTAGAGAAAATGCAAACAGTGACCAAATTATTCATGACTTTGTGTAGGAAAGAGTCAGCTGTTGAACTTACTAATTTACATTTCAAAATTCCGGGCTTCTCTGTAGAGAGTAGAACGAGCAAGGCCCAACAGTCAGGCAAGACATGGTTGTAAGGCTTAGATGAAGGTCGTGGAGGTGGTAAGTGATCATTCTTCTGAAATGTATTTATGAGAACCACCAGATTTTAGTGGTAGGTTGGGTGTAGATTAGGATTGGTTGTCTTTGACAGTTTTGGCTCCAGGAACATGATGGTCTTCCTCCTGAGTTGAACTGACAATGATTGTGAAGGCATGCGTTTGGGGGGAAAAGATAACTTGGTCATAGTTTTGAACTAGTTAAGTTTGAAATTCCTGAGGGTAGCATGACCATTAAATAATTAACTCACCAAGGAAGTGACTCTGGACTAAGGAAAATGACAGTGACCGAGTGGAGAAGCAGGCCAACATGAAAAGGTAGGGGAAATAAATTTTCGGGTACAAAGAAGACTTGAGAACTAATGGCGGGGGGAGGAAACTGAAAAAGTGCTCTGCCAGCTGTTCGGAGAAAGTATTTCGGGAAGAAGGGTGTTGTCCAAGTGGGTCACCTACTGCCAGGAGGTCAAGTAATGTGGGGACTGAGAATGACAAATCCAGTGGTTAACTGAGAAGACCAGCTTTGGTGGATAGCTGGGCAAGGTGGATTGCAACGGAAAATGAGAAGAAGAGAAATCCTTGTTACTTTTTCTTTCTCTTACCCGGTGCCATTTGTTGAGTTCATTCTGTGAGCCACGTGCTCTCTAGGTTCTAAGAATAGAGAAACCAAGTCACTTTCTTCCCTAACTGTTGGTTACAGTAGAGAAGCCAGTACATGAGTAAACAAAACTATTTTAAATGGTAAATGCTATCAAATAAGTAGGCCTAGCAAGTATTTTTTTTATATATAAGCTGACAGATATTTTATGTATTATGTTCGGTCTCTGGGTGCTCAGCACAGCCCTAGTAGTGTGAAAGCAGCCACAGACAGAAGTAAATGGATGGGCAGAGCTTTGTTTCCCATAAAACTGCTGTCACTGAAATAGACGGTGCATTGATTTTGGCCCATTGATAAAGCTTGACCATGGGCAGGAGTGATATATATATCTTAATCTATAAAAATCATTTTAATTGATTTACTGCCTATTTTTCTTTCATTAAAATTTCACTTGAAGCCTGGTGGTGGTGATCCACACCTTTAATCCCAGAACAGGGATTAAGGCAGGCAAATCTCTTGCTGTTTTTTTTTCCCCCAAATTATCTATTATATACTTTTATAAGAATACTTCATTTTACTCTTGCTTTCTCTCAGGGAAGTGGTATTCCTAGTATATGTATGAATGAGAAGTAGCTTTGTACATTGTTTTGGTTTTGATTGTTTTGAAACAGGGTCTCACTGTATAGCCCAGAACAATCTCCCTCAAACTTGAAATCTTTTAGCCTCAGCCACCTAAATTCTTAGAATTAAAGGCATGTGCCATTATATTCAGCTGCTTCCGTGTGTGTATATGTGTGTGTAGTCCAGGCTGGACTTGAACTTGTGATCCTCCTGCCTCCTTCTAATCAGATATCCTCCCAGTATGTGCCACCACAACTGGCCGTGCTTTGTCAATGGTTGTTACTGCTGTGTTTTTATTATTAGTATTGTTACTATTACTATTATTCAACTGTTATGCCAAAGAGTTGTTCTCAAATTCTTAGCCAGGTCTGTATATTAAGGTTCAATAACATAACCTGGGCTCTCAGAACTTGGGTGCTCTCAGTCATGATGTGGCCTTCCTTGCTGTGGCTGTCTGAAGTACTGTTTCTAGCCAAAGAGCAGAAGCAGTCTGGGTAAAAGCAGTTGAATCATTGTTTAAGATGTTGACTCACAGTCTTTGAACTGTCACTTCTAGCTTGTTTGTTCAGCTCCCCCTAGGTTGTGCATTCTCCTACATCCAGTGAAATGCAAGTATGCATACCTTTTTTCAGTGCTGGGTACCAAACCCAAAGCTTGGCATATGCTAAGTACCCACTCTATCATAGAGGTGTGCCCCCTGCCCCAATATGCAATTATATTTTAAAAGTTAAATTACTGGTTTTGAAGTTTTTTTGATGCCATACTTTGGGATAATCACAGATAACCTTACATATCACAAAACTAGAATTACATTGCTTCAGAAAGATATTGTAGCTTCAGTTGGTCACTATTATATGACGTAGTTGCCAGCTTCATATGTAAAGAGCCATAAAAAACAAGTATAATTAGATTTATAATTTTATATTTTGGTTATCTTTGAAAGATTTCATATGTAAAAATCTCCCTCCTGCTCTCTGTTTTTAAGCCCAAGCTTACTTTGACCTTGCTGTGTAACCAAAGATGATCTTGAACTTTTGATCTTCTTGCTTTCATCTCCTAAATTTTAAGATTAGACTAGCATTAGATTTTAGGGTTGAATCTAGGCTTCCAAACTAATAGTTTTTCTGCCTCCCCCCAGACCCCATAATAGGTTTCTCTGCCAGTGTAGTTAACCAGATCAAGCCAAATTGAAGAAGTATAATAGGTTTATTTGAGCAAAGCAATTCTTAGACAAGTTCTCCAGTCCCAGAGTTCGAGACCACAGAACCCTCACCCCCAAACTAAAGGTGTAGGTGAGGGTTGATGACACGTCCTGCTACAAGCTGGGTTTGTGTCCAAGTATGGTCAGAAGCTGAACACTTTAGGCTGGCAACGTCAGGGGAAGAAGCTGCAGTACCCACAAGAATGTGGAACTGGGTTTTTTGGTGCCTTTCCTTTGTTCGGAGACTCTTTGAGCAGGTTAGGTTTGGAGAGGCAGGACTGGGGCTTTCCGGATCCATGCAGGTCCAAGCTGAAGGTTCTAATCAAACACAAATGTGCTTGGCAAGCTTTACCAACTTAGCGACATCCCTAGCTCAGAAATCTCTATTAACAAGTAAAAGATTTTCTTAGTCTAGAATTAGAAAAGTGCGATTTGTAGGACTTGCATAGGGTAGAGTTACACACTGAAACTGGATTCTGAATTGTCATAATTAATCAGTAATATCAAAATTTTTATTTATCAGTCAGTTTGTTGGGATTTGTGTGGGGATGAGAGGACAGTTGTGGGAGTCAGTATTCTTTTCCACTACATGGTCCAAGAATTGAACTCAGGTCTTCAGGCTTGTTCGGCAAGAACTTTTATTCTTGCCAACCCATCTCTGTGGCCTGACCAGTAACTTTCAAGGAATTTCTTTTGAATCAATTACTTATTTAAATCATCTTGATTTATTTTTTGTTTGTTTGTTTTGTTTATCCAGCAGGACAGTCTCTTTACATTGGTTAGGCTGGCCTTGAATTTCTGGGTTCAAGACACCCTCCTGCAGCCTTGGGTAGCTGAGGTGGTCAGAGAGTCTCCAATGTTATGCAAAGAAGTTTGGGTTAAAGTTGGTCAGATAAAACATTTGTCAAAATGTGGCTACATCTTCAGCCTCTATTCTGTCAGTGTGGATTTACAAATGAGTGCATAAATAGATTTTGTTGTTGTTTATATAACTGTTAGAGTTTCATACCCTGGGATTTCTCTGTTTGCTTGTTATGAGTATGTTTGTTTTGGAATATAAAGAGTATCCCATGTGACTCAGTTAGGGCTCCCTGGTTGCAGGGTGGAGAAACAGACTATTTTAAGGTATTAAGCATTGCAGGTATTTTAAGCATTAAGGTTGCAGGTATTTTAAGCATTAAGAAGAGTTTTCTTTAATGGCTATTTGAGAGCTGCTCTGTCAGTGGGGAAGCTGAAAACTTTGGAGTAGAAAGGAGCCAAGTGGCTGCAGGAAGATTTCTGAAGTAGTCACTGGAAAGTCTCTGTCAGACACCACCACTGAAATCAGAGCTTTGTCCTGCCCTTCTACTCTTACAGGATTCTGCTGAAGACTCGAAGTCCTGTAAAGAGTTCCTGCTAACAGAACTTGACGCCCTGTGCCCAAGCAAGCCTTGACACACCTCTAGTAATTAACAGGTGTGAAAGGAAGGTATGGGTAGAAGGACCCTTTGAGTCCTCCTCAGAGACTGTCATGGAGGGTGGCACCTGGATTTTCTGTCCTGCCAAGGTTGTACACAATAGAGCGAGGTAATTCTTCAAAAGAAAATTAGAGGCTGGAAAAATGGCTCAGCAGTTAGAAGCTCTGACCACCATCTTTACAGAGGACCCAACTACAATTCCTAGTACCACATGATGGCTCACAGCCATCTTTAATTCCCTTCAAATGGTATCCAACACCCTCTTAAGACCTGCATGGGAACTGCATGCATGTGGTGCACAAACACTCATACACATAAAATAAGAAAATCAGCAAAAGAGAGTGATGTTATGTGACCCAAAAGTTTTGACATCTGTATATCAGGCTGTTAAAATACCTTGAAGCCAGATGTGGTAATACACACCTATTATCTCAAACCTCAGGACTCTAAAGTAGGAAGGAGGATCCCACTTTCTAAACAGTCTGGGAGACCCTGCCTCTAAAATCAAAAGTCTTCAAATATCATTGATTTTTAAAAATCTATAATATTCCAAAACTGGACATGGTGGTGCAGGCCTTTAATCCCAACTCTAAGAAGGCAAAGGCAGGCGAATTTCTTGAATTCAAGGCCAGCCTGGTCTATAGAGTTCCAGGATAGCTAGGGCTCCACAGAAAAACCCTGTCTTGAAAACAATAACAACAACAACAGAGTAATAGATGAATATTTCATTTATTTATGATACTTACACTGCCCATAAACCCTTTGCTTTGATAGACTTTTTATATAATGAAAATGTTAGTGTTATCTCCCATGACTCCATTACTTCTCTTTCACTAATTTTGTGATATTTAGAGAAAAAACAAACTGTATTTTTGTTAACTTGGATCCCTATCTGTAAACTGTCAGTAACCTCCCACAACTTGTGAATATTAACACAGTAATAACAAGACTTTATGTTACCTGACACTATTATAGTGTATATCATAGGGCTTTATACATGAATTACAAAAAGGACATTGATGCTGGGTGGTGATGGTACACGCCTTTAATTCTAGCACTTGGGAGGCAGAGGTAGTTCTCTGTGAGTTTGAGGCCAGCCTGGTCTACAGAGTGAGTTCCAGGACAGCCAGGACTGTTTCACAGAGAAACCCTGTTTTGATAAAACAAAACAAAACAAACAAACAAACAAAAGCAGAAGAAGAAAAGAAAGAAAAAGGAAATTGAATAGTCACATATACAGTATCCTTTGTCCTTTGTTTTCCCCAACATTTATATATTTATTCCGTGGGCAAAGGACCCATGTCGAGGTACTCTGAAGGTCAGAAAACAACTTTCTGGAGTTGGTTCTTTATTCCATCTTGTAGGTTCTGGGGAATCAAACTTGGGCCATCAGACTTGACAACAAGCGTCTGAGCCATTATGCTAACCGTTTCTTTCCTCTTTTTAAGCAAGTAAATGTGATATAATAGCCGGAAAGGGTTTTGGAGTAAAGCTTAGGTCTCTGTGACATGGTAGGTAACTCAGATTTTTTTTCCTGAACTTGGGTTTGCCAAGTTATAAAGCGGGGAAAGTAATGCCTCACCCACAGGGTTCTCATGAAACATTGGGGGGTTGGGGGTGATGGGACTATTACAGCAATAAGTATCCAGTTCTAGTTGGGTCTGTTCTTGCAAATGCATTATTTTTGCCCAGTTTTAGAAATTCAGTAAGTATGTGACTAGCATGGTCAGTGGCCTGAGTTTAATCTCCAGCACCGAGAAGGAGGAGGAGAAGGGCAACCTTCCTACTGCTTTCACTCACAGCAGATGACCTCACCTTTTATCCTCTAGAACCTAGACGATAAACTCTGGTTCATCTGCCAGGCGTTTAATCCCAGGCAGGCAGATTTTGAACTTGAGGCCAGTCTGGTCTACAGAGCTAGTTCCAGGATAGCGAAGTCTACACAAAGAAACCCCGTCTAGAACCCCCCCACCCTTACCAGACTCTAAGAATGTATGTCTTTTTAAACATTATTTTTAGTGTTTGTGTGTATGTGTGTGCCTGTGCACCATGACAGTTGTGTGGAGATCTTAGAGCAGCTCTCCTTCATCATGCATGTTTCAGGCACGAAACTCAGCAGCAAGTGCCAGCCCCCAAGATGCATTTCTTCTCTTCTTCCCCGTTCCTTCATCATTCTAGTATTAAACCCACCACCCATATGGCAGCTCAAAACCATCTGTATCTTCAGTTCCAGGGGAATCAAAACCCTCTTCTGACCTCTACAAGCACCAGTCATGCATGAGATAGACAGATAAAGATTCAAGCAAAACAACCTACATATAAGACATTGTTTTTTTTTTTTTGGGGGGGGGAATATAAAAGCAGCTTTAATGATGACTTGCTTTACCTGGGAAGGCAAGAAGGGTCCCTAGACAAGAGGGGCAGGAGAGGGTGCTGGGAAACCCTCACTTCACTAATGTGCAAACAGACTGAGGGGCAGATAATCACCACCGCTTTCTCTGTATGACACCATTTTGGGAGGCAGGCCTAGCAGTCTTAGGGGAAGTGGGGTGCCTCAGGTTACACACCACATAAATCATTCACTCTGTACCACCTCGCTGCAGAGGAAAAACAGAATTAGCCAGGTGAGAGTGGTGGGTGGCCTTTACTTGTACCAAGGGACCAAAGAGGAAAGGAAGCTGTATTCTGCACTCATCAAAGACTTGTGGCCCATGTTTACTTCCGGTTCTCTGCTTTTGTAAGCCTTAAGTTGAAACGGCAAAATAGCACTGAAAGTTGCACCAGGCAGCGCCCTGCTTCTCTGAAGGACCCGAGATGTTCTACCTAGCTACCCAAGAAAAATCTAGAAGTTGTTGTCATGTGTCATTTTATTGGGAGAGAAAAGACCAGTAGATTATCTTTTGGAAACTCTTGGGCCTCAGACCTATGATTCAGTTAAGAATGGACTAGAACGAGTCCATCTCTGCTGCTCTGACACTGTTTCCTAGGTGGAGGCCTGGCTCTGCAACTCGGAGGCAGGTTCTGCAGCCCCCACAGCCTGGTTTTCAGGGATGGTCCTATGGGGCAAGTCTGTGTACTTGCAGGCAGAACCTCGGGAGAGATGGACTGGGTAGAGTCGTCGGTTGGTGTCCATTTTGGAAATTACTGCTCGAGGTAAATCCACACGACAACGGGCTGCTAATGCCACCAGGTAGATGAGGACGTCACTAAGCTCCTCTTGAAGGGCTGCTCGTTCCTTTGGCAGCCAGCCTTGAGGACCAGGCTCTGCATCAGACTTCCACTGGAAGAGTTATGCCAGCTCGCCCACTTCTCCCACCAAGGCTAGGAGCAGGTTCCGAGGCTGGTGGAACTGCGCCCAGTCCCGCTCAGCAGCAAATTCTGCATGGAGCCGTCGGATGTCCTCAAGCGTGGACTCCGGGCTGAAGCTGAACGGGCCTGCAGCAGCAGAGTCTTCTTGCCCCGCATCACCGCACGCACCGCCACCGGCTTGGGACATTCCGCCCACCTGTCCCCGCCGCGCGGGAGCAAGCAAACCCCGCGCCACGTTCGGAGTCGCCTGCAGGGTCCCGACCCTGTTTTTTTTTTCTAAGACGGCAGGTCTTGAACAAATTATATTGGTGTATGATTTGGGAAATGGAAGCCCGTTTTAATTCTGTCCCTTTCTCCATTTCTAGTCACTGCTAAAATTCCAGCACTGTAGAGCAGTGGAAGGGCAGGTGGCTCTAAACAAAACACAAAACAAAACCCAAGAAACTAACCCTGAACAAAAATTTAAAAAAAAAAAAAAAAGAGCTGGATGCAGTGTCACACACCTGTGATCCAGCGTTCAGAAGGCGCAGGCTGGCCAATCACTGAATCCAAGGCTAGCCTGGTCTACATGGAGAATTCCAGACCAGTTAAAAGCTACTCTAAAATAATAAGCAAATGAAAGTAAGTCATATATGTGAAGCTGGGGAGATGGCTCAGTGGTTAAGAGCATTGGTACTCTTACAGAGGACCAGCAATTCATAATCACCTACGGCTCCATCTCTGGGGGCTTGGTAGGCATCGCCACATGTTACATATACTCACAGACTTACAAATAAAGACAAAAGGAAAAAGAAGTCAAGGGCTGACAGACTTACAAATAAAGACAAAAGGAAAAAGAAGTCAAGGGCTGATGAGATGGTTCAGTTGGGGAAAGTGCTTAATGCCAGGCCTGTTGGACTTCTGTTCCTTTCTGGAGCCCACATATAGAAGACAAAAACCAACTCTCACAAATTAATTATTGTCCTTTCATCTCCATACATGTGCCACACATAATAAATATATTTGATACTTTAAAAAAAAGTGCAAGGCGGTTGTATGTGTGTTGGCTGAGTCTGATATTTAACTGTGAAACAGGGCATGAGGAGTGAGGGTGCATCCATCCTGCTTCTACTACAATGCCTTTGGGCAGACCCTGGCTGCTGGCCCCAGGCTCTTCCCTTCCAACTGAAGCACCCTCCTGGCTTCAAGTACCAGTGCAGTATAGGAATTTACTTGTTCTCCCAACGCAGAATGTTGTAATTCAAAATAGTGTTGGTGAAAGAACGAAGTCTCTGAAATAGATTTCTCTAGAAATAGATTCTTGTAAATTGTAATTATTGTCTGCAGTAGAACTCCTACTCAGATAGTCAGAATTCTGTGGGACTCAATAGGCTTATTTTATGTCTCTCTGGCACAGCAGCATGGTACATCATGACTGCTTTCTCATTTGTGTCTTCTCATTTTGTATAAGTGAACAAATTGTTCTCAGGGAAAAATGAATATATTTAGATTCTGAAAATCATGTGTTTGTATAACTCAGTAGAAGCTGTGCATATAAAATAAATATTTTGTTGCAGGTAACAGCGCATGTGAAAACAGCTCTCTGCTTACATGATGAGGAAGCAAATCCCCAATGTGTAAAATGCCTGTGTCCCAAATTTTAGATGCAGTAGTGGTTAAGTGTGAACTCTGAAGAGGCTGCCAGGTTTGAGTTCTGATCTTGTTAGAGAATGGCTGAACTTCTCTAGCCATTTCCCATCTGTAAAATGGATAGGGTGGTAGCCCTATTATGTCAGGCTGATGTGGGGACTCATTTTGTAATTGAGGTGTAGTGCACATAACAAAGTTCATTTTAAAGTGTGCAGTTCAGTGATGTTTAGTACATTGAGAATGTTGTACAACCACCACCTCTGTCTTTTTGTCTTTTTTGAGCATAGTTTTGGACCGCTATCCTTAGACCAGGTTGAACTCAAACTCAGAGATCCACCTTTAATCTCAGCAGAGACAGGTGGATCTCTGAGTTCAAGGCCAGTGTGGTATAAGAGAGGACTCCTTTACTAGAGTAAAACCTGTGAGCTTTGAGTTTCTATTCATTTACTGCTGCTGGCCCCCAGGGATTAGGACACATAAGCTGGGACTCTGGCAGGCTAGCTTTCTGTGTCACCTCCATATCCCAAGTCACTTTAGGGAAGTTCAGAAGCCCATATTCAGTTATTACCTGGGACTGGTATTCCCTGGTTACTGTTGTCATGGTGTTCAACTCGTCAACCAGAAAGGTATCCCAGGTTTCCCTCTGCTTCCCAGTGCTGTGGACTAATACTTCTGTACAGTATGAAAATGTGTCGCTCTCATTGTTAATAAAAAGTTGATTGGCTGATAGTTAGGCAGGATTTTGGGGACAGAAAATGCTGGAAAGAAAAAGGGCAGAGTCTGAGGAGTCACAAGTAGATGAAGAGAGAAGCAAGATGAATGTGTTGAAAGAAGGTACAGCCACATGGCAGTGGGTAAATAAGAAATATGGGTTAATTTAAAATGTAAGAGTTAGCTGGTAACAAGTCTGAGCTATTGGCTGAGCATTTAATATTAAGTCTGTATAGTTATTTGGGAACCTCCTGGTGGGGACAGTCCACATATATCCCAGGATTTGTGCTCATCATCCTGTTGTATCTGTTTTCTGTTGCTGCTGTAACAAATGGTACTATACTAGTGACTTAAAATTCTACCAGTTTATCATCTATAAGTTAGACCAGTGCAGGTTGACTGAGATAAAATCAAGAAGTGGAAGAGCTGTATTCCTTTATGAAGACTTTAGGGTACAAACAATTTCCTGACTTTGACCACTTACAGAAGCTGCCCACAGTCCTTGACTAGTGGTACATTCTTCTGTCTTCACATTTAGCCGTGTGCTCACCCCCTCCTTTTCCTTTGCTTTGTCCTTGATACTTCTTTTTTTCAGTGATGGGAATAGAACTCAGAGGTTTGTATGTATTGAACAACTCCTTTCCCCTCAGCCACATCCCCAGCTTTCCTTTGCTACTTTTTTTTTTAAGTGCTTTTGTATTGTTTTAGATAGAGTCTTACTATGTCACTTGGACTCTGTAGACCAGGCTGACCTTAAACTCAGAGATCAGCTTACCTCTGACTCCTAAATGTCGTAAAGGCTTGCACCACTACATCCTGGTTAAATTTTTTTGCTTGTTTGTTTTTTTGTTTTCGAGACAGGATTTCTCTGTGTTGCTTTGGAACCAGTCCTGGAACTAGCTCTTGTAGACCAGGCTGGTCTCAAACTCACAGAGATCCGCCTGCCTCTGCCTCCGGAGTGCTGGGATTAAAGGCGTGCATCACCACCGCCCGGCAGTCCTGCTTAAATTTTTTTTTTTTACATTTTGCTTATTTATATGTGTGGAAGTGTGTGCACATGTGGGGAAGTCATAGAGCACCATGTAGGAGTCAGTTCTCTTCCATTATGTGGGTCCTAGGATGAACTGAGGTTGTTGGGCTTGGCACTAAGAGCCTTTACCCAATGAGTCATTTTTCCAGCCCCATGCTACTTTTAAGGAGTCTTGTAATTTCATTGTTTTCACTTAGTGATCCAAAATAATCTTCCTGTTTTAAGGTCAGCTGATTAATAAACTACAACATAATGTGCCGTTTTCACAAGTAGTAGGAGTTAGGACAGCCACTTGTAAGAAACTCTACTTCAACCTTTGATCTCCACGTGAGACCAAAATACATAAACACACACACACTATTTCAGATAGTTTTTATATAATTCTTACATGCCTTTTCAATATTTGGTGAATATATTTGCTAAGCATAGAAAGTAGTTTTGTGTGTGTATGTGTGCGTGTCTGTCTTTGGGACAAAGTCTTGCCATGTACCCTTGGCTGTTTTGGAACATGTTGTGTAAACCAGGCTGGCCTTGAACTCAGAGATCTGCCTGTCTCTACCTTCTGAATTCTGGAATTAAAGATGTGTGCTACCATGCCTGGCTTAGAATATATTTTTAAATTATTGGCTATTTTAATTTTGGGGAATATAGGAGGCCTTATAGTAGCAACTTACCTGAGAAACCGGAGAAAAGAAGTCAAAATTCTATTTATCTGTTGTCTTCAAATGTGCTATAGTTTAGTTTCTTTTTCAGTATCAGAGAAAGAGACGAGATTTCTTCTGGAAAATTAAACTCTCTTTTTTTAAGTAGCTAATGACAGAAATTTGAATGTGAATAATCCCAGTAGATTAAAGTACTGTGTTTATTTGGTAAGAATTTAATTTAACTGATTGTACTAATGAGTTTCTGATCATTTAAAAGTTGCAGTCTGGGCTAGAGAGATGGTTCAGTGGTTAAGAACATTGACTATTATTGCAGAGGACATTAGTTCAATTCATGACAGCTGATAAACATCTGAATTCCAGTCCTGGGGAATCTGACACCCTCTTCTAGCCTCTACAGCACACCAGGCATGCAAATAATGCACAGACCTACGCGTAGATAAAACACCTTTACACAGCCAGGTGGTGGTGACAGAGACAGTTTGATCTATAAGAACGAGTTCCAGGACAGGCTCCAAAGTTACAGAGAAACCCTGTCTTGAAACCGCCCCCCCCCCCCAAAAAAAAAACAGCTTGTTTTTTTTTTTTTTTTTAATTGTGGCCTGTGTTTTACTGCAATGGCTAAAGTCCTTTTTAAATTTTGCAGGGAAGTGTGACTGCTATGACAGTGTTCTTTCCCTTGGATACTGCTAGACTTCGACTTCAGGGTGAGTAGTGATCACATTTTCTAGTACGGTACTGCACCAAGATAAGAATATTCTGTTACATAACCACTGTTATCTGCTTGCTTGCTTGCTTGGTTTTTTGGTAGGGTTATGTGTAGCCCAAGCTGGTTTAAAACTCACTGCATAGCCTAACCATGAACTCATCCTCCTGCTTCCACCTCTGAAGTTTTTTGCATTATAGGTATGTACCATTGCACTTGATTTAAATATTTGATCTCCCCCCACCCCAATTTTTCTTTCTGTGCTAGGGTCTGAACCTAGAGCTTGTACAAGCAGCTGGTCTAGTACTCAACCACTAGGTGTTTCCCCTCCCCAATATTGTTTTCTTTCTTTCTTTCTTTCTTTTTTTTGAAAAAAGATTTATCTATGCATATGAGTGCTCTATTTGCATGTGTGCCTGTGTGACAGAACATGGCACTATGTGGTTGCTGGGAATTGAACTCAGGACCTCTGGAAGAGCAGTCAGTGCTCTTAACCGCTGAGTCATCTCTCCAGCCCCCCAATATTGTTCTTTAGAGGGGGAATTGTGGCAACTCAAGTTAATGTAAATAAGTCACCTGTAGAAAATTCCACAGCGGGAATTCCAAATATGCAGACAGAAAAGCCTAAATACTAAGTGTATAGGGATAGTTTCTATTATAAACTGACCAGTGACTATTTAAGAAGCATTCTTCAGGACTGGAGAGATGGCTCAACAGTTAAGAGTATCCAGGTTCAATTCCCAGCACCCACATGGCAGCTAACAACTGTCTGTAACTCCAGTTCCAAGGGATCTGGTACCCTCACACAGACATATATGTAGGAAAAACACCAATGTACATAAAATAAAAATAAATTACTAAAGGAAGAAAGAAAAACATATTATTTAATACCAAGGCTCTGCAGCCTCTTAGAACAGAAAAGGGTGCCTGAAGGGTTAAGTTGAGGGACCCCGAGGCAGGTGAGTTTCACAGTAAAGAGTGATTTCATACAGCTCATTTCCTCATGCCAGTATGCGAAGACACCTCCCTTCTGAAGCCGGTGTTGCTGCTTTTACTATAGCAAGCGCACACTTGAAAAACTTATTTTTTTTTCTTAGCAGTTACTAAAAAGAGATGTTCCGTAGGTAGGTGGGCAATGTGCTCTCAGTCTGCTGTACACGTAACAGATTTCTACATTAGGGCAGTGTACTCACACCTACAGTTTGGACACTGCTGTTTAATACCTGCCAGGCAAGTTCAAGCAGGATTGACTTTGGCAACAGATGTGTCTTAAGAGAGTCAGCCCTTGTCTGGGAGAGGTGGCATACATCTTTAATCCCAGCACTCAGGAGGCAGAAGCAGAGGTGGATGGGCCTGAGTTGGAGGCCAGCCTGGTCACACAACAAGGCTTTTGTTTTACAGTAGATGGTCAGACCCAGGCCTAATGTGTACTAGGCAAGTGCTCCACCCTGAGCTCTGTCTCCAGGATTACTTTTGAGGCTTAAACTGGGCATTTTTAAAGGAGTAAGATTTTCTGAAAAGAAGAAGGAGACTGGGAACCAGTGAGTATATATACCTACTGTCCTTACTCATCCAGACGTGTCCTCCTAACCCCCTTTAGCACTATAGGATTTTGCACTTTGCTGTAATTCTCTTCTATTTTTTTAAAATTTGAAATTATTATCATCATTATTGTTATGATTTTGATGATGATGATTATTTTGGTTTTTCAAGACATGGTTTCTCTGTTTAGCAGACTGTCCTGGAACTCACTCTGTAGACCAGGCTGGCCTTGAACTCAGATCTCTCTACCTCTGCTGGGATTAAAGGCATGTACCACCACCTGGTTCAATTTGAAATTATAAACTGATACCACAACTTGCATAAAAAGAGTTTGAAAACTAGCTAAGAGGTTAAACACTTTGTGCCTACTGCTTGTGGTTAGAATTTTTAGGTAGGTGTTTATATAACTCACAGAGGAAAACATGTACGAAGGCGCTGTACAGGGAAACCTCACCTCTACCTTTACTCCTCTCCACTGTGTTGACACTGATAGACTTTGTGCTGTTTCTTTGATATCTTCATTGCTAGGAAAAATGGGTCTCTTCCTTAGTTTTTTGTTTGTTTGTTTGTTTTGTTTTTTTTGTTTTTCGAGACAGGGTTTCACTGTAGCTTTGGAACCTAACCTGGAGAAGTCAGCTCTTGTAGACCAGGCTGACCTCGAACTCACAGAGATCCACCTGCCTCTGTCTCCTGAGTGCTAGGATTAAAGGCATGTGCTGCCACCACCACCCGGCTTCTCTATTAGTTTTTAAAATTACTTTATATGTATGCCTTGTATCTGGGGGTATGTGCACATGAGCGCAGATGGCCTTAGAAGCTAAGGTGTTGGAATTCCTGAAGTTACAGGTGGTTGTGAGCCACCTGATATGCTGAGAATCAAACACAGTCCTCTACAAGAGCAGTACAAGCTCTTAACTGATTAAACCATCTTCACAGCCCCAAGTTTTCTTGATTTGTACATCCTTCAGAATGGCAAATGTAGGTTGGGTTCTGTGTACACACCCACAGTCACAGCTACTTGGGAGACTGAGACTTGTGGACCATTTGAACACAGGAGCTGTGCTGAGACCTTGTTTTAGAGAGGGAGGGAGGGAGGAAAAGAGAATGAGAGAGCCAGAGCAAAACGAAAAGAATGTTTGTAGAGACTAGAGGCCAGTGCTGTAGAGGAGTGAAGCTTGAGACTGAGTGTCAGCCAACCTGGTTTTCACACTTTATGGAAATACATACAAGTGATGTAGCTTCTGAATTTTCCATCTTACTCATACAAAAGGCACATTTTGGCTGGGCAGTGTTGGCACAGACCCTTAATCTCAGTACTCAGGAGGCAGAGGCAGGTGAATCTCTGTAAATCTGAGGCCAGCTTGGTCTACAGAGCGAGTTCCAGGACAGGATCCAAAGCTACAGAGAAACCCTTTCTTGGGGGAAATAAAGCTACAGAGAAACACTGTCTTGAAAAACAAAACAAAAAACCCCAAACAAACAAAACAAAAACAAAAACGAAGGGCACACTTTGTTCTAGACTATGCATTTAAACAATTATTTTTAGGTATTATTTAATGTATATTGGTGTTTTGTCCAGTGTATATCTGTGTACCACATGCTTGCCTGGTGTCCACACAGACCAGAAGGCACCAGATTCTCTAGCACTGGACTTACAGATGGTGCTCTTAACTGTTGACTTGTCTCTCTGGCCCCCCAGACTGTCCATCTTTAGCCTGGCAGTATGTTTCCCTTCATCCAGTCTTGCAGTTCTCAAGTCTGGTGTGGATGCACCATAACCTGCTTACCCTTGCCCTAGTGTGGAAGAATTCTTGGGTTGTTTCACAATTTTGTTATTGTCATTCTTGCAAATATCATGTAAGAATAGATTTGTTCATAGGCCATTTTGTTTCTGTAAACTTTATGAGATAAATTCCCAGACGTGGGATTTCTTCTGAATCAAGGGGTAAATGTATGTGTGATTTTGAGTAAATGCCAGATTACTTTTATTAGGAGCTGACTAACTTGCCATTTCTTAAGATATATTGGTACCAATTTTAATTCTGAGGAAATTGGTTCATTTCCACACTTTTAGTTTTTTCAGATTAGTTTTCTAGTATATGTAGGAAATTTGAAAGTTAATTGAAGTGGATATTGTTTTCATTCAGTGATAACGCACAAAAATGTTCTTCTGGGATTTTTTTCTTTTTATAGGTTAGGAAGCAGCACAAAGCCAGAATTTTTGAAATTTGAGTTTTGTTCCTGACTTTGCATTTGATTTTCTGGCTCTTTTACAAAAGGAAGAGAGAAGGGACTGGAGAGATGGCTCAGCAGTAAGAGCACTTGTAGCTCTAGCCAAGGACCCTGGTTCAATTCCCAGCACCCACATGGCAACTCAAAACCATCTGTAACTTAGTTCCAGGTTACCCAGTACTCTTCTGACTTCCCTAAGCACCAGACACATATGTGATACACATATACATGCAGGCAAAACACCCATACATAGAAAATAAAATAAGTCTCTTTTTTTTTGTAAAAGAAAAAAAGAGAAGATAATCTAGTTCCTATTCTATAAGGTGTGGGACATAAAAATGAGAACATGCATATTAGTTTAAAACAAGATCACGATATGGGGCTGGAGAGCTGACTCAGTCATTAAGAGCATTTTCTGATCTCCAGAGGATCCAAGTTTGGTTTTTAGCACCCACATCATGAGGTTCATAGTTGCCTGTATCTCCAGGTCCAGGGGATCTGATGCCCTCTGGCCTCCAAGGTTCCACCTGTTTACATGTGGCTCACATAAAGTCACAGAGGTACACATAGAGGGAGGGAGGGAGGGAAGAAAGAAAAGAAAGAAGGATCGATAGAGTCTATGGAGCTAGACAGATGGCTTAGTGTTTAAGATCATGTACTATATTAGGCAGTAGTGGCACATGCCTTTAATCCCAGCACCTGGGAGGCAGAGACAAGCAGATCTCTGTGATTTTGAGGCCAGCTTGGACTACAGAGCTAATTCTAGGATAGCTAGGACTGTTACATAGAGAAACCTTGTCTCCAGAAAACAAAACAAAAAATAAATAAATAAAATAAAAAGAACAGGTACTGCTTTTCCAGAGGACCCAAGTTCAGTTTCCAGTAACTCTAGTTCCAGGGAATCTTACATCCTCTTCTGACCTCCAAGGGCTCCTGCATTCATGTGCACACACTGATATACAGATACATATAATTAAAGGTAAAATATAAGAAAAAGCACTGGAGCCAGATGGTGGTGCATGCCTTTAATCTCAGCACTTGGGAGCAGAGGCAGGTAGATCTCTGAGTTTAAGGCCAGCCTGGTTTAACAAAGTGAGTTCCAGGACAGCCAGAGCTACATAAAGAAACCCTGTCTAGAAAAACAAAACAAAACAAAAAACCAAAAAGCAAAAACAATGAAGAAGAAGGAAAAAGAAAGAAAGAAAACAGGTAGAAAGAGTACTATAAAACCCTAGAAATAACATTTCTGCTTTACTGTGGAAATTAGAGTTTAACTTAAAATTCTGAATAACAGATGAGACTCAAGAAATTTACTTTGGGGAAGTAACCCATGGCCAGACACACTGGAGGATCTGAGGCAAAGTAGGGAGCTCAAAAAATGGATGAGAGTGGATGCAGGTGGCGTGATGGCATTTCAGTGACGCTTGCTGATGCTAGAGATAAAAATTCTCTTGATTTTTACAGTTGATGAGAAAAGAAAGTCAAAAACTACGCATGCAGTTCTCCTGGAGATTATTAAAGAAGAAGGCCTGTGAGTACCCATCTCCCAACTCCTCAGAGTGGCTCCTTGGGAAACTCGAAGCCCCGGTTATAGACTTAGAGTCTTCAGAGTTTGTAATTGCCTGACATATAGAGGCATATCTGTTCTTAATTCCTTACAGATATGTTAGCCATTTGATCTTGATTTTTAGATTTATTTCTGTGTGTATTTTGCTTGAATGTTTCTCTGTATACCGTGTGCATCCCTGATTCCCAATGAGGTCGTAAGGGGAAGTCGGATCCTATGGAACTGGAGTCACATATAGTTGTGTGGTTCTGGGAATGAAACCCAGGTCCTTGCAAGAATAACAAATGCCCTTAGCTGCTGAACCATTTTTCTAGCCCACACCATTTGTTTAGTTTTGATTATGGAGCATTCTAGGAAATGTAATGTATAACAGAGCAATGGTATTATTGCTTAGAAGTTTGAACGTTAGCTCACTGTATTTGCCTAGCCTTTATGGAGCCAAGTTTAAATGCCAGTAGCACACATCACATAACACACAAACACACACACAATTCACATACCCATATACACCAAACAAAACACATACAAGTCACATAAGATACACACATATACTCCACACAAGACACACAAACCCTCTCTCACAGTTCGTTCCTATCAGTTGCATCCAGACAGATTGCATTATTCTTTTCCTTCAGTTTCTTTGAATTTGTGTTTTGAAGTAATTTCAGAATTGCAAACAGTTTCAAAACTGAAATTGGTACAAAGGATACCACTGTATGCTTTCCATGTTTATTGTCCATTTTTCTACTGCGTTACCAGTTATGCTCACACTTGCCCTCCATGCACTTCTGTCACACACATGTAGATTATGTACAAGTTTTTCAGTTATTTAAACATCAGTTACATGCATCAAAACATTTTGACATCTATGCCATTGACATTTTAATATATTCTCCCTTCCATTTTAAATTGTTCTTTTTCCTTGAGACGGAGTCTCTCAATGTAGTCCTAGCTGGACTGGAACTTGCTATGTTGACCTTGAACTCTCAGAGATCTACCTACCCCTGCCTCTGTCGTGCTGAGATGAAAGTTGCGAGTTTTAATTCTTGTTTTATATTGGCCTCATGGTTAGATTGGTTTTGCATTCTTGGTAAGAATAATGAGTTCCTGGGTAGCCCAGCGGTGCATGCCTATAGTCCCTGCTCTATAAGAGACTGGGGAAGAATTCCTTAAGACAGGAGTTCAGGGTCAGACTGTACCATTATGAAAAATCTCCCTGCCTGCCTCCCTCACTTCTCTGTTTCCTCTCTTCTCTCTTCTCTCTCTCTCTCTCTCTCTCTCTCTCTCTCTCTCTCTCTCTCTCCCTCTCTCTCTCTCTTTCTCTCTCTCTCTCCCCCATCTCTTTCTCTCTTCTCTTGTTTTCTCTCCTCTTCTTTCTTTCTCTGTCTTTGCTTACCCCTTCCTTTTCTCTTCCTTGCTTTCTCTTTCTCCTCACCCCATTTTTCTCTGGCATCATAGTGTCTGCATGCTTTCTAACATGTGATTTAGCTACTTTCTGTGTGACCATTTCTCTTTTCTTGTAACTCACCCATGGGGAAAACCTTTCTAAGGTCCTGCGGTTGTCCCACTCCTATCAAACTTTGGGACTGTCCGTGTAGACCAGACTTTGCTGGGCTTCATAGTAGGTTACTTTTTTCAATTCTGTGATCAAGTGCCTAACTAGAACCAAGTTAAGGACAGGAGGGTTTATTCTGACTGTGAAGACAGTTTACAGTCCATCACAGTAGGCAGGCAATGCCAGCTGATCACATTGTTGTCTCCACAGGAAGTGGAACTGGGCTGTCAAACCTCAAGGCCTGTCCCCCGTGACTATTCCCTCTTGCAAGGCTCTGCCTCTAATAGACTTCCCAGGGAATGCATAAACCTATTGGGGATCTGTTACATTCAGACCTTGACAAACTTCTCTGGCAATTTTCTGTGGCTTTTGTCCATGACCTTTACTTTGCTTATGTTTTGTTTTGTTTTGTTTTCCATAGCCTGGCACCATACCGAGGGTGGTTTCCAGTTATTTCCAGTCTCTGCTGCTCCAATTTTGTCTATTTCTACACTTTTAATAGCCTCAAAGCAGTATGGGTCAAAGGTCAACGTTCTTCTACAGGAAAAGATCTGGTGGTTGGATTTGTTGCAGGTAACAAGGTTTTCTGGGTATAAAATATCTTTCTATTTTAATATTTATCTGTGCTTCATATATCCTCTAAGAGATTATTTTAGCACCCAGTAGTGCTGCAGGGAATATGACCAGTTTTTCTGACGTGTTTCCTTAATATGATAAAAGCACATGACATAAAATTTTCCAGTGTAACCATTTTAAGGTAAGTTAGTCATGTGAAGTATGTGTGCATTTTATTTATTTATTTTTTTTGAAAGTAATTTTATTAAATTATAAAAAGTTTCCATTTACGCCCCTCCTCCCAACGCCCTCCCACTCCCCCCCTCCCTCTCCTCCTCCCTCTTTGTCCCCAAGGGCAGTCAGGGTCTCCTGCCCTGTGGGAAGTCCAAGTTCCTCCCCCCTCCCTCCAGGTCCAGGAAGGTGAGCATCCAAACAGACTGGATCCCAAAAATCCAGTATATGCAGAAGAAACCAGTCCCAGTGTCATTGTCAATGGCTTCTCAGAAAGACTGCAGGCCAGCCACATTCAGAAAATCCGGCCACATTCAGAGAATCTGGTTGGATCACATGCTCGTTCAGTCACGGTCCATCTGGCCTTGGTAAACTCTCATTAGATCCGACCCCTTGTATCAGTGGGTGATAGTATCCCTCGCAGTCCTTCGTCATTTTCTTCCTCCTTCTGCTCCTCATTTGGATCTTGGGGGGCTCAGTTCGGTGCTCCAACGCGGGCCTCCATCTGTATCACCATCCAACGCCAGATGAAGGATCTCTCTGGGAAGAACTGCTCCGCAGGGCCGTATGTGTGCATTTTAAAACTGACATTTACAACTGACATTGTATAAACCTCAGACACCCAAAGTAAATTCCCATCTCTCCTGGTAACCATCATTCATTCTGCTTCTGCCTTTAAGGATTTGACTACATTTGGTACTGCATACAAGTGAGATCATATAGTATTTGTCTTTTGTAATGGGCTCATTTCACTTAGTAGTGTCCTCAGGGTTCATCCACATTGTAGCATTTGACATATATTTCCCTAGTATGTCTAGATAATATTCTGTTGTGTGAATATATCACATTGTGTGTATCTTTTCATCTGCTAAGGGACATTTGGGTTGCATCCACCTCTTGCTGTTTGGAGTAGTGCTTCATGAACATGGGGTGGGTAACTCTTTGGAAACTCCTCTCAAGTATATTGGAAGGGTTTATCTGTGTCTCAGCAGAGACTTATTAAATATAAATGCTTGGCTGGTACCTTAGACTTGTCTCCAGCTAGCTCTTACAACTTTTTAAAAAATTTATTTGTTTTTATTTTGTGTGCATTGGTGTTTAGCCTCAATGTATGTCTGTATGAGGGTATCAGATATTGGAGTTACAGACAGTTGTTAGCCGCCATGTGGGTGCTGGGAATTGAACCTGGGTCCTCTAGAAGAGCAGAGTACTCTTTTTTGTTTGTTTGTTTGTTTGTTTTTGATATAGGATTTCTCTGTAGCTTTGGAGCCTGTCCTGGAACTTGCTCTGTAGACCAGGCTGCCAGGCAGACCTCGAATAGGCAGAATACTCTTTAAGTGCTTTTAACCACTGTTTGATCTCTCTAGCCCTAAGCTCTTACAACTTAAATTAACCCATTTCTATTAATCTGTGTGCTGCCCTGAGGCTTATGGCTTTTACCTCTCCTGTATATCCTGCTTCCTTTCCATCTGGCTGGTGACTCCTCTCACTCTGCCTGTCTTCCCAGCATTCTCTGTGCCCCCAAATTCCTGCCTAGTTATCAGCCAATCAGCTTTTTATTAACAATGAGAGTAATACATATTTACAGTATACAAAGGTTGTTTCTCAGCATGTCCCCTTTTTATCTAATTAAAATGGAAGATCTTAACTTTAACATATACAACAAAACAGTTATCAAGTAAGAATTACACTTGCAATATCCAGTCCATTTGTATTTGGCAAAATTAGAGAAAATACTCTATTTTTATCTTATCTTTGTGAACCTAAAGTTTTATACCTAATTTACCTTTTATTATAACTAAGGAAAACTTTAACTATGACTATCTAATCTTCAACTCCATCAAAGGCCCCAGAAGGTGAAATGTTACCTAACAGCAGGGACATCTGGCTGCCTGGACAGTCACTCAAAGTTCTTCTGTAACATTGGGGCATCCATTTTTAGTCTACAGGCCTAGTATATCTGACAGACATTTTTGAGAAGCAGGGAATTTTGAAGGACTGGCCTACCTTGTCTTGGCAAAGTTTGGCACAGCCAATTTGTGTGGGGGTTGGTGGGTGGGAGGGTGAGTGGGTGTGTAGCCTGCTGGTCCAGTTTCAACAGTATACTGTCAGCAATTGAAGCAATGGCAGTTTCTTTGCCCAAATGACTAACTTTTGCTGTAAAGAACGCAAACTCCATATATAGTTTCTTTGATGCCCATTATCTTCTCTGAAATTAATTGATGCTGCCATGAACAGATGTGTCTCACTGTCAAGAAAAGTTTTACATTATTAAAACATTTTTAATGCCATATTCTATAGGTCTTTGAAGTGTTTGAAGACCTAATTCATCTTAATATATCTGTGAATGACCTTGAAAACATGCCTAACATGACTGTAAATTTGACTATAGATGACTATTAATCTGTATTTCTTTTTTCTTTTCTTTTTTTTTTTTTGGTTTTTTGAGACAGGGTTTCTCTGTAGCTTTGGAGCCTGGAACTAGCTCTTATAGACCATGCTGGCCTCAAACTCACAGAGATCCACCTGCCTCTGCCTCCGAGTGCTGGGATTAAAGGCATGCGCCACTACTGCCCGGCTTAATCTATATTTTTTAATTATATATTACATTTTAAAATGAGCTGCATAAGCACAATACCTCTCATATCCTGTGGAAATAAAAGCATAACCTCTTTCCCAAAGTAACATATCTTTTGATTTCCATTTTAAAGTCAAGGTATTTTAAAAATATATAGATTGATTTAATTTAGCAGTTTCATAATCCAGTGTGTTTTAGCAGCTGTCATTTCTTTATTAGCAATCAGAAAATCTACAAACAACACAATAGCTTACAGAATTCAGGCTGTCTGTGTATTTTCTATCTTTACATGGCTAATTATATTTATATTTTTACTCTATTCTTTTTTAAGGGTTTTATTCTTTTTAAACTATTTTTAACCTATGAGTGTGACTACCCTTTCCCTTTTCTCTTCCAAGCCGTTGTACATTTTTTTTAAAAAAAAAAAGGTCTTGTTTCAGAGTGAGAGGGATGTCTGTGAACAAGCTTACATTATTAATTAATTATTTTTTAAATTTTATGCACATTGGTGTTTTGCCATGGGTGTTGGGTCTCCTGGAACTGGGATTACAAACAGTTGTGAGCTGCCATGTGGGTACTAGGAATTGAACCTGGGTCCATTTGGAAGAACAACCAGTGCTCTTAACCACTGAGCCATCTCTCCAGCCTACCTTTGTACATTTTTAAACACACTGTAACCTGTTTAGAGGTTATTTTCCCATTATCTAGATCTGTCTTGTTTTATTTTGTTTTGAGACAGGCTTTCTCTCTGTAACAGTCCTAGCTGTCCTGGAACTAGCTCTGTAGATCAGGCTGGCCTCAAACTCACAGAGATCCAACTTCCTCTGCCTTCTGAGTGTACCACAGCCCATATAAAAAGACTACAGAACCCACCATGCGGCTTTGCTCATGGTATGCTGGCAGCTGCCAGGAGATGTGTTTTTGTACTGTGACTAGCATGAAAGACACACGACTAGCAAGTCACATTTGGCTCCATTTTTTGTGTGTTCAGAACCTTTTTAAAGCTTTCTTAGGTCTTATATGGTTGTAGGTGACCCATGTTTGGGCACCACTTGTAGTCATTAAGGAACCCTGGAAAAAATGAGATAAAGGTCATGTCCTGGGAGACTATTTGTTATCCTGTCCTGGTGTGGTGGGAAACTTCAGGGCTGAACTGAAGTCCTGACTGGAGTAGGGACCATCTAAGCTAACCACTTAGAAGTTGTTCTGAGCAGTTTGTAGTCCAAAGCTGGTCTTTGGGTGGTGTTTGTCAACTTAGTGTTATTACTACCTTCCAGGTGGATTCATCCTTAGGGGGCCCCATCACCTTTTTGGAGACTTTAAAGGCCCCATCATTATTTTGGAGACTTCAGAGGTTGTTGTGAGGAATGGTCACAATTCACTGCAGAAACTTAAACATTTTAAATGTCTTATGCAACAGATCTTAGAGAGGTTATAGGACCATATCTATTAAATACTTCTGGGGTATACAAGCTCAGTTCCTCATTATCTGCTTCAAACTCAAGCCTGAAATCACATACAGGAAGCTAGATGAATCCTAGTTCTAGAATTAGTTAGTACTCTTATATGATCGTTAATCTCAAATTTTGAGATATTTATACCTTAAGAAAAGTTTTGAAGAGTCAAGATAAAATCAAAGGATTATGAGATTAGTGACAATAGAATAGTCCCTTACTTTTGGTTTTCTTTTGTCCCATGCCAGATAGCTCTTCTGACATGAGACAGAGACTTTGGATTTTCCTTTAATAAGTATGCTTGGGTTGGAGAAGGAGAGCGCCATGCTCAAACTCCAAAGCCAGCTTTAAAGTTTAACTGAATTGGAAATACAAAAAGATCATTTGCCTCATATGTCTGCAGAGAACAGCAGAAACAAACATTTGGGAAGCTTTATGATTTTTTTTTTCTGTTGGAACTGTGTTATACTATTAAACCAATTTACTCTTTTTCTCGGGACATTTTCTCCAGATGATTTGTTCTCTTCTTCAAATGTCTCATTTGTCCAGTGGTCTTCAGATTCTTTAAATAGATGCTTTTATTCTCCTGAAAAGACAAAAATAAAACCCTGTTTCAACCCTAACTTTGGGAGGTTTCCTTTTGGGCAGGTTATGTCTGATCAAATATTTGTTAGTCTTATAAGTTAATTTAGGTGGAATGGCTATGTGGTTTGATGAACTTTGGCCTCTCCTAATCAAGAGGTCTCTGTTGTTTG